AGGTTGATATTTGCCAGAGGTAGAGGCTGGAAAATCTGCGTGGGGAGAAGGGGGGCAGTCATGGAGACACTTGAACATTAAAGTGATTTCTACATGGTAACTGCAGTAGACTTATTAAGGCCATTTGCAGTGAAGCCAAAGACCCAAGTCACTCCCATGTCCGGCAGATGCTCAAGTGGTCCTCACCAACACATTCAGCAGTGCTCTTTTCAACTGCCCTTATACACGGATCCTCTCTGGATCAGAGGGTCATGCAAACAGGTTTTCAAAGGAAAGCTGTCAAACAACGTTGACCACAAAAAAGCCTTTAGGAAACACCAAAGCTGATAGGAAGAGGACTTGATCCACCACTGAAGAGAATAAGAACTGAAACGCTGTTTAGAATACCCTTGCACGTTTCACTGGGTTAATCAAAGGCTGTGACTTCCTGACCAGTGCAGGCAGCCAGGACAGAGGCACGTGGCCAGCCTCTGTACCACACTGCGTAGCTGAAAAGCTGAGCGGGTCAGGGCTCTCCAATTTGCAACACACAGAAGGCCCAGTGTTCGAAGCCACAGGACATAAAAAACTTAAACGAGATTATCTTGGAGACTGACAGCTTTGATATTGCTCCTCTGAAGGAAAACCATGACACTGCAGCCCTCCTCCACCTGATGGAGGTAACACTGCAGACACACAGCTCTCCAAAGCCCATGCTGGCATGTTTTAGATCAGACAAGAAGGAAGCAGTACTTACAGGAGCTGGCGAGCCACTCTCCATTAGGGCTAAACTTTACTGATGAGACTGCCTTGGTGTGTCCTGCTAATGTGAACTTCAGAGCATAGTTTGGTTTTACTGGTGCAGGCTGCAAGAAAAATACATATGAGCAAGCCGAATAAATTCCAAATCTAGTATCCCACTGGGTCGCATGCAGTGACAGACTGCATGGATACTCACCCCAATAGAGATGCCAGCATTTACAACTGTGTCATTTCTCCCCCCTGCCTCCAAATCCAAATAACACCAAAACACCCTTGCTGTCTAGGGCCAACAGTGCCTCCCTGTTGCATGCACAACAAGTCACCCTTGACAGGAATTTCAGCCACACCAGTAACAAACAGGGGAGAATAATCCAACAGCCCAGCTATAAAGTGCTTGGTAGATCAAAATACTCCTCTTGCTATTGATCTGTGTACTGCTTTTAAGTGCTTGCAGTTTTCATCCTTACCATGAATTAAATCACAGGCCAATTCCTCCAGACTCTTAAAATCCCCTTTTTTTTTCCCTTTCACCCTTCGCAAAGGCTTCACAACAACATCTCCTTTGAGCATCTGCAGGCTTCAAAGCATCTGCATAATTCCCCACTTTGCAGCTACGCTCACAGATTCTCCAATCACCTCCAGGCATCCCAAGGATACAATCAACCTCTCTTTAAGGCTCCAAGTGACCAGGAGGACTTTGTTTGCAATCCCCGCCCAGCCCTGCGGAACCGGCTGCGCTCCATCGCCCTTCCCATGAGACCCTCAGCACGTTTCCAGCTCAGACAACAGCAGAGCCTGGCAGAGATCTTCATCTACAGGAGAACACGAGCGATGCTGGTTCAGCTGCTGAATATGCAGGTGCTGCCATGTGTATTTACACAGATACTGCTGGAGCCCCGCACACACCTTGCTCTGATTGGTTGAGGAGGAAGGAGTAGATTGTGTTTTGGTGGATTCTGCATCTGGCTTCTTTTCTTCTGTTGCCATGGTTCTGAAGCTGGCAAATGAGACTTGTGGTGCTTGAAGAGGAGAATGAATGTGCTGCTTCAAAAGGCAGCTCTTGCCACAGACAGAACGGCTCTGAAATGCAAACCTGGAAGAAAAACAGAATATTCTCATTAGCTGTCAAAGAGATTCTCAGCAGCCAGAAAAATTAAGAGTACCTAACTGCAGGAAACCAGGATGAAAAAACATAACCTAAATCCCGTTAGGAACACAGCAGGATTGCAGGCTTCAGACCTACCAAATGTGCAAGACCCCAGCCCAAATCACAGCCTTTTATTGCAAAGCTGTTAGGTGTGGCAGAATTTTCACAGCATGTTCCCCAAAACACTTCTAACAAGCATTTAGCACACAGTAAATAAAAAGGTTTGTGCAAAAGATGGAAGGAACAGCCCAAGGCCTTTTTTCATGTCTCTTAAGGTTCAGAATACAAGACTGACATAAATACAAAACCAGCAGTGGCATTTCCAAAGCTTAGAACTCTAGGAGCTTCCTTTCACCTCGGAATGCATGTATTTCAGTCTCATATTTCTCTCTTAAATGGTCTGGATATCAAGCCATAGCTTGGCTATCAAATCCTGCCCTTCTCCACCCAAGAGTTCTCACACTGAAGCAGCCTTGTGCTCACACCACCAGATCCACAATGTGCAACAAACCCTCACGTTGCTGTGCCTGTGTTCAGCAATGGGGCTGGTGCTGCACAGGGAACAAACGTCCACTGCAGCTCAGGAACAGGAGAGACTTCAGCTCACACTGTCAGGATTTGGCTTCAAAGCATGTTCATGATACCCCACCACCGCTGCCCTTCTTTGTGCTCGTGACAGCAGATTTTGGAGCAGCAGCACTTGCAGCTTCAGCACATACTGCCATTGTAAGCATCTCCCTCCTGGAAGGGAATCCCTGGCTGGGTTGCGTTGGAAGGGACCCTAAAGCTCCTCCAGCTCCAACCCCTGCCATGGGCAGGGACCCCTTCCACTGGAGCAGCTTGCTCCAAGCCCGTGTGTCCAACCTGGCCTTGAGCACTGCCAGGGATGGGGCAGCCACAGCTTCTCTGGGCACCTTGTGCCAGCGCCTCAGCACCCTCACAGGGAAGAGCTTCTGCCTAAGAGCTCAGCTCAGTCTCCCCTCGGGCAGGTTCAAGCCATTCCCCTTGGCCTGTCCCTACAGGCCCTTGTCCCAAGCCCCTCTCCAGCTTTCCTGCAGCCTCTTTAGGCACTGGAGCTGCTCTCAGGTCTCCCCTTCAGGAGCCTTCTCTTCTCCAGGCTGCCCCAGCCCAGCTCTCTCAGCCTGGCTCCAGAGCAGAGCTGCTCCAGCCCTCGCAGCAGCCCCGTGGCCTCCTCTGGCCTGGCTCCAGCAGTGGCCGGGGTCACAGAGCGCTGCTCCCCCGCAGCGCGAACCGGGAACCCGAGTTACCGGACGCAGCGGGGCCCCGGCGCTGCCCCCGCAACCCCCGAGCGCGGGGCTCCCGGCACCCCCACGGCCCCGCCCGGCCGAGCCTGGAGGCTGCGGGGGCCCTGCCCGAACTTCAGGGTCCGCTCCCGTTCCCCCCCCCCTCCGCCGCATCCCGCACACGCGCGCCGGGAGCCGGGAAAGGCGGGAGCGCGGCGGCGCGAGGCACGGCCGGGGTGGGCGCGCGCCCCGCCGCGAGGAGCGGGCTCCGCGCGCTGCCCGAGGGGAGGTGGCGCCGCGCGGGGAGCGGGAGCAGGCGCGGGCCGGGCCTTACCGGAGAGCGGGCACTGAGCGGGGGGCACCGGTGGCGGGGCCGCCGCCTCCTCCGCGGCGAGGAGGAGCGCGGCCGCGGGAGGGGAAGGGGGCGCGGCAGCAGCTCCCGGAGCAGGCGGGGGAATGCGGAACGGCGCCTGCGCCGTGCGGGCCGCAGGCTGCACAATGCCGCTCTCCCGGGGGAGCTACGGCGCGGCCCGAGGGACAAAAATCATCGCTTGCGCGCGTGGGCGGGGTCTAAGGGGCGCAGCCCCGGCCCCGCCTTGGCCTCGCCCCGCCCTCCTCTTCCCTCCTCTCGCGGGGCTGAGGGGTGGGGGCCGCTCCGGGTTCGCAGCCGTTGCCCCCCCCCCCCCCCTCCACCCCTCCCGGCTGCGGGTGTTGCTGTGGGAGCGGGCGCGGAGGCGGCGGCAGCCAGAGCCCGGCCTGGCTGTGGTGAGGCGAGGGGCAGAGCCGGTACCGCAGAGCACGGCAGCCCGGTGCAGGGCCCTCGGTGTGGCAGGTACACGGCCTCTCTGTACACCGTGTCAGGTGGGCACGGCGCTGCTGTGCTTCACGTTCCGCCGGGCCTGGCTGCCGCAGGCCTGGGTGTCAGGCACAGGCCAGCCCCGGTGGGAGGGTGCCCCAGAACCACCGGTGCAAACCACTGTGGAAAGCCCAAGGCTAAGGCAGTAACACAAGTAGTGCACGAGGCTGATGTATGAGCCATTTAGCACCGTATTTGGGTGAGCGTGTGTCTAAGGCACTGTACTGGTGTACACGGGCCCTGAGTCAGAGAAGTGTTTGATCCAGTAAGGCCAAGCAGGCGTTAATGGTAAGCATGTGTTGGAGCCCTGTGCTGGAGTGCATTGCTGTTTTCCAAACCACAGCCCAGCGCCGCACAGGACACGGTGCAGTCTGCTTGCAGAGGGAGGGAGGAAAAGGAGACACGTGTCATGTACTGGCCCTTTGGCACAGGAGAATCCTGGGGCTCCAATGGCAGTTAAGAGAGGGAAAAAGGAAGAACCCCCCTGTGGTACAGTGAAACCCTTCTGCAGCCTGGAATGTGCAGTGCAGGTGCAGAGAGTTAACCCTGCGCTGTGAACCCAGGGGGCCGAAACACAGGGACAAAAGCTGCACTGGGCAGCATTAGGAAACCAACCCAGTTCCTGCTGCTGATCCCTCTGCTTGGTTTTGGCTCAGTTTCACTCTTAAATCCTGAACAGCCCCTTAGCTCTGAGTTCCTGCATTTTAATTTTTGTAGCAAGCTGAAAGTGTGCAACACTGCACTTGGTGCAGTGCTCGGGCACACACTAGACTGGGGTTCTGACAGCATGACATTTAACTCGTCGGTTATGAGTCATCTGTGAGGGTCTTTCTTTCTCCCCCAGCGCTGCTGCCACAGCTGGGATCAGCAGGATGTGGTGTCTGTCCAGATTCCCTCCCTGGAAAAGCATGGGGCTTGGCAGGCTTCTCCCTCACAAAATCTTTCATTCCGTTTGGTTCAAAATAGCCTGAACTGGTGACCTGCCAAAATACACTGTGAACGACACCTGTCTGAGGGGTTTTGAGGAAAGCAGCTTCCCATAATGATGAAAGGGAAAGAAAAGGCTGTGAGTGGCTCAGATGACAGGGAATGAGTGCTCTCAGTGCTGCTGGGGTCCCTTTGGGTGGCTTTCAGGATGTCAGGAACAGAGCTGAGGCCATGGGTCTTGCTGTGACTAATGTATGATTTTGTCACAGGTTCCACCGGGACCCAGCCCTGCTGATAGGATCCAGAGGACATCCATGTTTGTGGAAAAGCTCCCACTAACTTCAGCACATGCTGGACCCGCTCTTTAGACTTGACTGCTGCAGACAAGCTGGTGCTTACATTTGCAGTGGTGAGTAATAAGGCACTAAGCTTACAAGCTCTGTAAACCCACATTTACGTTCCGGCACAATTGGTAGGCTCAGGACGTTTATGTGCCTGGGCCTCTCAGCAGCCAGGGAAGTGGGAACAGACTCACTGTGTGTTACACACTGCTCAAGGAACAGAGGGAGGAAGAGCGCATGAGAGACCAGCTGCATCTTTTAGGCTTTTAAAGAGCAGCTACTCTCTGACATGGAGCTCTTTCTGTGTGGTTGCTAATACACTGCTCTGATTTGTTCTAAATCCCCAATACATCACATACATATGTTTCTTCTGGGATTTAAAAACAAACACTAAACCTTTTCCAGGCTGATATTTCTACCTCCCCCAGTACAGCAGGAACCTTGCTTGCATCACTGCCAACATTTGTTCATTTAAAACTAGGAAATCCTACCCCAGTGGAGCACAGGTAGGATTTGATTCATTCTGCCCTGGGAGGGATGCGTACAAAACACAGGCTGGGCACAAACGGCCTCTGGAGGCTGAAGAGCTTTGTTCAAAGCAAGATCATTGAACACTGCGTGTATCTAGCTCCATGTTAGTAAAGACCTGCTAAGAAACAGTCCATGGTTTTGAAGAGAAGGTAGGACTTGACACAGGACTAAAGTCCAGTGATGTGCTGTAGTGAGCCATCCAAAGCAGATTCCCTCCCAATAGAATTTACAGCCAATAAGTGTATAAAGACTGCAGATTTGAGAGCCCCAGCCTGAATCACACACAGCCTGACTGCCAGACGTGATGACAGCCTTTCCCCACCACTTCAGCTGGAGCAGCAGGTTCTCAGCACTTCTGTGGATCGGGAGCTTCATTCTTGGCTGGTGCAAATGGTTGCAACTCCAGTGAGCAGCCAGTTCAACGTGGTTAACTCATACCCCTGAGATAGCTTGAGTGAAATCTGAATATATTTATTATTCCTTGTAATTTAGAAGTCACTGTTTGGAAGTGTTACTGTTTGGTCACAGCATCTCTTTGCCATTCTCTGCAGTCTTTGTAAGAGGGCAAGAGGAAAAGCAAGAAAACAGACGGGAATCCATTAGGGCTGTACCCAGCTGAAATCTAGTGTGTTCTGTTAGTTTAAACTGCCAGCTCAGTAGCACACACTAGTCACAAGGTTGCTTACCTGTGCAAACCACTGTTAACAGCAGGTGCTGGGTCTCTACATGATACTTGCTGTGTAACAAAACCATTTAGATGCAGCTGATGTCCAAAGAAACGTATTTACTGTGACCAAAGATATGTAGCCATATTAGCTGGGCAGTTTCTCTTCACTACTCAAATTCTGTGATCTTGTCCCTCTCTTCTCTCTCGCAATAGCTTAGGCCTTTGCTCTGCTTCCTCCCATACATATGAATCTTAGTCCGCTGTATACCAGCCTCCAGCTCCTCCAAGTAATGCTTCTTGCTACATCCCCATAAAAGGCACTTGCATATTTGCAGATGAACACTTACGAGATCCTTCAGGTCTCAGACAGCTTGATTCTTTCCTGCCTTCCCATCAATTACCATAGTGCTGCACCTCTGGGGGCTTGTAGACGTCCTGGCTCCTGGATTCCCTGTTTGGGAGCTCTGCTAACCCCTTTCCAGATGAAGAGTGAACACTGAAGAGACAAAGGTCCCGCAGGCACTGACAGGCTCACTGACAGAGGAGTGGCCTCACCAGCTGTTGTGTCCAGGCTCTCCAACTTACAGAGTACAAGTCAGAGGAGCCGGGTCCCAGTTCTGGCTCTGCCTGTGGTTCTCTGCATCATCGTATTCCCTCTCGGCTTCCTCAGCTGAAAAACAGGAATCATAATATTTCCTTACCCACAAAAGCTGTTGGAGGATTACTGCATTGTTGTGAATTCCACAGATGAAAGGTACTACAGAAGAACAAACGGCAATTATTGTTTCAAACCCCTGCCCTGGGCCTGTCATCCTCAACTCACTGAATAACACTGACTCAATCGAGGAAATCCTGCCACCACAGTGAAGAAAATTATTGGTAAAGATGACTCTCTGTTGCAATAAGAGCATTTATCCGCTTGTGTTCAACTCCCTCTGTCTTCCACTGGATGATCGGAGTCGTGTAATCCCAGACACTGACTACATGCTCTTAAGCAATCTTCTATTTGGGCACTATTATTTCTTTATCCCAAACATGGTTGCTACTGAATAAATTCTCTTCTTGGAATGTGCAATGACATCCACTCTGTTACAGGCTTTCCTGTGAGTCTGCTCGTATGTGAGGTCTCTTGGAGCCCACACAAACAGTCGGAATGGCCAAATTCACCTGCCTGAAGGTGTGTGGGGCTCACATCAGCCCTCTGCATGCATAGAGATGTATGGGGTGTCTGCTGTGTGCCCTGTGGAGGTGGAGGACGGGGTGCACTGCTGACCTGGCATTCATCTCCCTTCAGCAGCCTGCTCCACTTGTAATCCCCAAGTCCAAATCCTCACAAAGAGCTCCCTTCCAGCAGGGAGCTGTGGTTTGAATGGTGAAACAGACACTGAAAGGTGAGGTAGAGAATCAGAAGCTTACGGTTAGTACCTCTAGCACAGCTCAGAAACACCAGGCTCCAGGTCCGTTCCCAACAGTTCCCTGGTGTTGATGTGTGTTAAACACTGTTGGGTGCAGTCCTGTGAGGCACTGAGTGTGCCCAGTTCTCACAAAACTCACTGGCCCCAGGGACACAGGTGTCTCCCTCTTCTGTTTCCATAACCCTCGTTTTCAAAATGCTCAGGTCCCACCCTGACACCAAGAGCAGAGAAGCAAAAAGTGTGTTTAACAGCCCTAAAAACCACTCTGGTGTGGCACAGATAAGGCTTTTTCTTGTCAAAGCCTATGAACAAAGCTTCCTACCAGTGTACATGAAGGGTTAACAGCAGTGCATGGGGAAGGAATAAACACACTCAGGTGTTAGTTAACAAGGTACTAATTGGGTAACTGGAGGTGCAATATAAGAGGCCACAGAGGCTACTCAGAGAGCTCTGGGTGAATGGAGGATGCTCCTCTGAGCTTGGGGAGGAGGAAGAGGTAAAAAGCTGTTGCTGTGGTCTTGTGTTTTATGGAAAAGCTGGTGCTGATGTGTTTCCAGAGCAGGCAAACTGTTGTATCTTGTGTGTAAAACTAACATGACAGAAGAATTTCTAGCTTAAAGATTGTACCTGTCTTTGCCTCAGCCTGAGTGCTTTAAATTAAGCTTGAATCCTGCTGGTTTGACTTCATTGTACCTCCTCTGGAGCTTACTCAAACTGAGCCAGGCTGTGCCTGTTTGGCTGAGCCATTATCCAAACTCACTGCCTTGCATAAAGAAGGCTTTGAGGGTCCTTAGAAGATTTGTGCTTTCCTATTCCCTTAGAGAATGCAGCTGGGTTCTTCAGGCGTAGGCTTGCTGACCTGCAGGTAGGTGTGTTACTGGTGTGCTTCAAGTTGAAAACTGATAGTAGTGAAATCTCTGGGTGCAGTTTCCCATGTGAATTATTGTGCCTGCTCAGCCTAATGTATCATGAATGTTACAATTTGGGTTGAAACTATCTTGCATTCACCCAGGTGAGGTAAGGAAGTGTGAGATGTACTTAGAGGCTGCTTTTGGGTTGCAGTTTTGATGTACCTGACATTGCCAGGTTGCATTTGGATTTGCAGTGGGACTGTTGGATGGTCAAGTCAAACAGATCAGTTTGAGGAGGAGCCCAGGTCACGCACTGACTGGGGGTGTGAGTGCACCCACCTTCAGTGCTGTCTGACAAAGTATATCCCAGTGTGAGCAGGTTCCTGGATTTCAACATGCCTTGAAGTTGGTGTAAAAAGGCACTTTTCTTGGGTTTGTTTCTGGCATGTGCACACCCTCGGCTTCATCCTGAGGCAGCTGCAAACCTGGTGCAGTGGGGTCTTCCTGAGCATGTCCTGCCTGTGCAGATCCCGGTGTCTGTATCACACCTCTTGAGAACGTCAGTCCTGTTGGTCATGTTTTAAACAGCTGGAAATAAGGTCTTCCAATAAAACTGCCTTCACCTTATGGCTACACTGAACTGACCTACTGGCATGACAGTGTGGCAGCCTCTGTGGCTTCTGTGTCCACAGCCAGATCCCAAAACTGCTCCTTACTTCACACTGGTGCTCAAAAGCTTCCCCTGGACTCATTTATGTTTCTAATTTTTGTTTCTTCCTTTTTGTGCTGCAGTAATTAAACTGTGTTTTGGATTGCATCGGTTTTGAGCTGCTTTATAAACTTCTGTTTGCATTGTGGATTCGCTGCAGGACACCGGCTGGGTTGGAGTGTGTCTCAAGTGCTGCGCGAGTGCTCGTGTTTGTTGATGCTTCCGTGTGTGTACAATTCCTGGTCTGTTATTGTATACATAGGATCAATTGTTGTTGTAAGCCGTTGACAGGATTGTGCGCACTGACCAGCGCAGGCTACACCCGGCTCTTCATGGGCTTTATTTTTGCACTTACTACTCGCACTGGTGACGCTCTGTTTTTATTGCGGCTCGTAGTAGTTGTTGTGTAATAACCGGGAGCGCGCAGCGCCCGGCGCAAACCGCGACTGAACTTCACGATAGGAGCGAGCAGAGCGGGCTGCCCGCCGGGGCTCGGGGTCCCGCACGTTCCGGCTGCGCTTTGACGGGCTCTCGTCGCACCCCGAGCCCGGAGGGAGGGGGGAGCCGGGGCTCCCCGGCGCCGTGCGCGGGGTCTCACGGCGCGGTTCCCCCGCGGCCGGGCCCGGCGGTTCCCCCTCCGCCCGGGGCATCCCCCCCTCCCGGTTGTGTCCCCGCGGGGGGAGCGGGGCCCTGCGGCTGCTGGGGGTTGTAGTGCTGGGGCCCGCGGGCTCCGCTGCCCCGGCCGGGCCGGGACTACCGCGCCCACACGGCCTTGCGGCCGGCGCATGGGCTCTGGGGCGCTGTAGCGCATCTATTATACTGCCTGGCGAGGATAAAAAGAAGAGCAACTGGAGGGACTATAAGGCAAACGTTGCTGGAGCTGCCGGGGCAAAGT